GAGGACGATGTAGACATTTGGGGGATTCTTGTCCTTTGTTCCTTTGTTCCTTTAAAGTAAGCACCTGATTCTGTTCGATGCCGAGGAAGGTACCATTCACACACCGCACTCAAATTTTCGGTTTGGGGTGTCGGAAGACTAACGACTCTAACCGGCTATGAGTCCCGAAATCAATGAACTTATTGGTTTTCCCTTCAACTGCTCGTATATTGTGCCATCAACCAGGAAGTACGCCATGAGACAGAATCTTAGGAGCTCTAGGTTTTGGGCATGCCCGAGGTAATTCGCCGACTCATCGTATATGCTTCGTAGGAGAAGTCCGACGGTTTCGTCAAACACGTCTCGGAGGCCGTAGGCTACCTTCTCGCAACACTTAGAGTTAGAGACGCACACAGGCCGGAAACCACCATAAGCGTTAGATAATGAAGCAGAACGATCGAAATAAGTGAACCTGGTACGAGCGCTCGTTTCGTAAAAAAGATGTTACCCCCACAACAGACGCCACAGGAAAAATTTAACTGTAAAATATGCCCCAGATTCAGAATTAACAATGCCAAACGGGTGTGTTAAACGTAATTTAAATCTGATTCAAGTGTATGCTAAAACTTTGTTGAAATATGGCGAGTCATTCCATATTCTTACGGAAACTTTCGTAGCTTATGAAGGGAATCGCACATTCTGCCTATCCCCAAACACGGCCAATCTACGTCATTTGGCGATCTAAGGCAGTCTCAAAAATTTTAGAGACGTTGAGTAAACAGAAGAGGATAATTAACACCGATTTAAAAAAACATCCCAGAATCTTTCGGATGAGTGCTTCAAGACAATTTTGTCCCGTATATCGTCGCTCGCTTCGCACATAGATTGATGGAACATAGGCTTCGATGTATTCCTTAGTACGTATTCTGTGATGTCTTCGAAATACTATAAAGCGCAAATTCAATAGAAAATGCGAGTTATTTGTGGAAAATATTCTCAAAAAACTTACATGCCAGTACTTAGGACAACTACCAATTGGGAGGGACTGAGACAGGTCCCTCTCTGAGGTGTCCTTCGTATTTTATTTTTCGTCCAAGTGATTCAAAATTTCGCCAGTTTTTGCAGTGAAAATAGCTCGAATGCCCTTTTTGGTTAGATTAAGCTATAGACACTATCCGACGTCTAGGATCAGTTGGATCATCATTTGAAATCCTAGCCACTGACTCCACTTACCCCGTTCGCTAGGGAGAATTTGGTTACACAGTTGTCTGTAACAAAATTTCGGATCTTGGTTGCAGGTGCAATGGATGAAAAGGAGGAGGTAATATTTATTTGGTTTACTTTATGTTAAAGCCTTCGAAATCCTTTGTTTTCCCTGTTATGAAAAAGGCAATCGGAGAGTTATTTGCTAATGGAACCGTAACAAAGGAGGATCTTGAGCGTTTTCAGCAAAATTATTGGGAGCAGATGGTTCCGAATTTCAGTCAAGCGTTAAAACTTCTCGACATACATGATGTCAGCCGACACAGTGTCCTTTGGGTATGCATTTATCATAATAATGGTCTTCTAGAGCATAAACGACAGACTGTTAGAAGCGGTTAAAGCGAAGATTCAGGCGAAAGCCAACGAAAATGGCGACGAGCGAAAACTTCAGAAGCTGTGGCAGAAATTAATCAGAACGGGGATGGCTTATATACAGCATCCATATATGCGTTCGGCCATCATGATGGTAAAGTGTCTTTTATTTTTATCGTCAGGTTCTCGGTAAAATGAACACGATTAAAAGCCGGTATGTATCATTGATTGTAGAGAATGAACATCTCTACAAGGATGCACCCCTTCCCGTTCTGCGGCACATATGGATGTCACACGAGAAAAAGTAAAAAGTTAACTAGTTATATTTTGTCAGATTTAATGAGGAAGTAAAAAACGTTTTGCAAACCTATCAGAATTCGTGGTTCGAGTCGCTACTGGATGCCTTGTACGCATCTGTCACTTCTAACTTGTCATCGAATTCGGATACTCTTCCGCTCCTTTACTGGCCACCTCGCCGCAGGCGGCGTGACAACTCTCTTCTCAAAATTGTGGAGATGATAGGAGAAAGTCAAGCATTGTACGAAAAGGTAGGTTGGTAATCATCATATCCTCAGGCATTACCTCATTCTCATTCGTCTCCTGAATTTTTTCATTGTTTTCTGTCTCATTAGACTCTTGATTTTCTTCGCGAGGAGTGTCTTCGACTTCAAATGGCAGTAGAGAGGTCGAACTCTCTGCGAAAGTTATCGACTACACTTCCAGATATCTGCCTTCCACCTCCACCCAAAAGGGCACGTGAGTCGTCAACATCCAGCAAGAAGATAAAAAAGGAAGAGTCATCTGTGCCTGATCTAGAAATTAAATCGCTTCCTCCTGTTCCATTTATCTCGCCAGCTTTATTGCCGAATCCACAGTCGATGGCGGCCACGGCTTTGTGCACTGTTCGCTTTGACCTCATAATGAGTTTCAATGAAGCTAGACAAGACCAGATGTGTATCTCTGATCCAATTCATCACTTTGTTTGGTGTATGGATGCATGCATTCGGAATAAGAAGATTGATCGCCGCCACGTTTGCGAACTAGCTTACCACTTAACTCGTCATCGGAGAAGAGCTTCAGTCCGACCTGGCCTAGAGTCAGAAGTTGGACTTGATCAGGACACCTCCGCCGACTGGGCCCCAGACACAGACGAAAAAGTGCCCCCCAAGAAAAAGTCGGGTGATATCTCTTCGAGATTGCCGAAACATCAACGAGCTGGTGATAAAAGAGCCCCAGGTACGAGCGCCGATC